GTTTCTGTTTGGAGAAAAATGACCTGTTGCAACTGCCCTTGTTGCTACTGTCCCCGGTCTGCCCTATTTTATATTTTATATTCTCAGCTTCAACGTTGTCTTCTTTTCATGTAAAGACAACACTAAATATGTACAGTGGTTTTATGTAAAATAAGTTCTGAAGGTTTTTATACAACTGTGTTAATATAGAAAAATGTGCAAAAATAAAAAGTGTAACAAATGTTTATAACTTTTATTATATCTGTGATATGTTAATTATATTTTCACAGAAAAATAAACAGCAAACGTATGATGTTGTTGTATTCAGGATCAAGTTTATATTTTATAGTTATTTGCAGACAAACACTGGGTGAGTTATTATGAAGTGTGATGCATTCAAAGAGTGTGGGAAATACTAAACACCAGGCTGTTTTCTGCTCTGAACACAGGTTTAAAATGTTTTCACAKGAACCGAGCAGAGCCTGTTTGCAGCTGCAGGTGTGTTTTCTGTAAATCAGCTCTTTGTGCACCAGGCTGGTGAGCAACACAAAAACACAACATCAGTTTGTTTACGTGACACATGCGTGCAAAAAGACAACAAAGCAGCACAGCTGCCTGCACGCGCTGATGTAAACAACCTGACAAAGTAAAACCTGCACTTTAAGATGAAGGTGGAGATAAATGGTTTTATTTGTGATGTGAGTCGATGACAGCAGAGCCGTGTGTCCCACTCACCTTCAACACGTCTTCAGTCAGAGAGCGCGCAGGGCCGTGGGCATTGTGCAGAGAGCAGCTCCGCTCCTCGGCTCGGTTCGGTTCGGTTTGAAGCCTCCGGCTGACTGCAGCTCGTCGGGGCGGGTCGCTGAAGGACGCGCAGATCTCCCCCCGGGGAGTTACACAAACACGGCCCAGCGAGGCAGAGTCCAGCCGCCGAGCCTCGACCGTCAACAAAGCGCCACGCTGCTCGTGGAGGTCGCTGCTGGCCTCGCGCTGACGTGTCCGCCGCTCAGGGCGGGCCCTGAACTGCACACGCGCGATGCACGAGCTTCCCGCCCATTTTCCCCCCCCCCTTGGTGTCACGTGTCAGGTCACTCGGGTCGTAACTTTGTTTACCATYAAACGCTGAAAGGCCCGGTCAGAGTTAAATAATACAACTACAGGGCAGCAGCTCACAGTGGACAACTGTTTAACTAACAGCAAACATCAATAACTGTGTCAATTACTTATTATTTTAAATTTTAATCACGTTTAAACTTTAAATCACTTTTCTCTGTCTGAATCTGTAGGTTTGTTTATTACAATGCTCAGTGTCAGGTCATGTTTGTAAATGAGAAGTGCTTCTCTAACAGTTTACCTGCAGAAATAAAGGTTAAATAAATAAAAATAAACTCCATGTGTAACACATTATGAAGTTTTTTTTTCTTTTTGTCTTCTTATTGTTTATTTTATTTATGTTTTGCAGACAATTGTGACCTTAGTATCTATCTTTCATTCCTCATGTAGTACTATAGTAGTAGTATGTAGTAGTAATAACTCAAGTAAATTATTTTACCAATATGCAATAAAGTTTTATATGAAGTTTAAGATTAATCATGATTAATTCACAGCTACCTTGGAATTAATAGATTAATTTTTTAATCATTTGACAGGCCTAATTTTTACAACTTTATATATTTGATATTTATTGTTAAATTCAAGTAAAACAGATGATAAAAGAAAAACATCAGTTTTAACTAACGATGATAGAAACCAGACCTGAAGTAGCTTAAAACTTTTAAGATTGTTTAGTAAATTATGACTATTTGATTAATTTGTAATTAACCTTTTTAACATATTTTGTTCATTTGTAGGCTCTACTTGTTACAACTTGCAGCGAAGCAATTCATAACTAATCTTAAAACAGACATTAATTCATGCAAAGACAGTGTGAAGATATGGTTTGATTCTTAAGATAAGAATGTAATTAAGATATTTTTGGGGAAAAATATCGTATTATTTCTAATTTTGTGCCTGTCTTTGTCTTTTTTTCTTTCCTTTATGTTTTTTGCAGTAAGMCTGTTTTAACCTGTTTGAAATAAAAACAAAAACACATKTTTTATAAATGAAATATTAACAACACAGTAATTTCATATACTGTGGTGCATTTTGAAATGTAACTAAAGACAAAAGGATTTATTGCACAACTCAGGGTACTGCATAACATTACTGCAATAATTTATTATTATTTATCACTCTTTACCCAACAGGCTACTATCAAGGCCCCAAAGGTCAGGTTTGTCTAACAGAAACCTAAAATAAGTAAAATATATACACTGTGTATATACATAAATAAATCAAAGGCGATGCCAGCTTGTATTTAATAATTTGTGCTAAATTGTAGCATGAGCAGATGAACATATATAAACATATATAATACATATAAACAGAGGCTAGTGTCTATAATTACTGATTACATCTGTTTTTATAAACTTGTTTTAATTTTATACTGGTTCATTTTTAGCTTCAGTTTTGGTCGGATCACATCCACAATGAGGTAAACAAGATAAAATTTCTAAATTTAACACTTAATTTCTCAGAGTATGTGTAAAAATACTTTTACTTTATTGTTTATTGTAAGAAGTTTTATGACTTTTATTTAAGTATTTTTCTTATCAATGAAACAAATTTTTACCAAAGATATTTTTACTGTTATTTCTTTACTCTGCATTAAATTTTAGAGATGATACGCAGCCACTACCAGATCAAATTTTAGCTCCATATCTGTAAAACTGCTGAATCAGCACTTTTTGTGTTTGCTAAGATTGCTTTGATGTGGCAGTCTTCTTAAACCGGACTGTCTTCTAAAGTTAATCAATTGCAGATGTCAAACCAAAAGTTACTTTTAAAAAGTTTTGCTAAAATTATTTTGTTGTTTAATAAGATATTTTACTAATGATAAATAATACACACAAATGGATGCACAGTGTAGTACAACTATCTTTATGGGGACATTGCATTGACATCCATTCATTTCCACAGCCAAACCTTCCTGACCCCTTACCCTAAAACTAACCTCACAGGTGTCCCTAAAGCTAACTTAAACTCAGTCCTAAACCTAACCCCTGACCCACCAATGGTATTTCCCACAAGGGGAGCCATAAGTACCAGTTAGTCCTCACAAGTAGGTGTGTATGCCAAAAATGTTTACCTCTGCTAATTGTATTAAACAAATTCAAACTAGGAGCTATAAATTTTCTAAGAAAAAACTTAAGCATACAATAAATGGCCTAGAAGCAGCTTGACAAAATGGAATCATCTGTCAAAAATGCCACCAGCTTCGGATGTCATCATCCATTAAATGAACGTTATTAGCCATTCTATGGGACTGATAACAGCTAATAACGTCCATTTAATGGACTGATAACGTCAGAACCTGCTGAAAATGCATTGTTGATGCTGAGTGCTGAATGACTGCCCATGTTTACAACTGGACAAGCACTTTGCAACATATTAGATTAGCTGACAACAGGTTAAGACTGGGTATAAATATAAAAGACTTTACCAAGACTTTTCTTTACCAAATTTCCCTCTGGGATCAATAAAGTAAAATTTGAATTTGAATTGAAAGTTTTAGAGGCTGTATTTCAGATGTAAAGATGGGTTGAGGTTCAGTGAACTGCCAAAAACCTTTGACTTTCTGTAGCATTTTCCTGCATATAAACAATCATTTCTGATTAGATTTCACTTGTTCCTATGACAACGGCTCAAAAAAGGAAGAAAACCCCCAATTTGACTTCAGACTATTTTCTAAAGACTTTTGCATGGAACTTCCTTTGTGGCTCGAATTAACATCTCTTACACCAACCCCCACCAGACGTCCTGATGTCTTACTGTTAATAGATAAGAATTGCCACATTCCTGTTCCGAACCCCACAAGTTCTGTTGTGACCTTATAAGCACAAGACTGTTGGTTCCTCTTCAAAGGGATCATAAATGCCTTTAACCAGACTCTTCAGTGACTGAGACAAAGGAATCTACATTCTTCATTAAATGTGAAAAAAAGAAAAGATAAAGGAATCTGTGTATCTAATGTTTTCTGTCTTATTGCAAAGAATGTCATCTAATCCATTTTTCTTACAGTAAAGAACTAAAAAGACCATAAAGGATATATTAAGTTTTGCTTAGTTAACTATTCAATAACTGTGGTGTTATTTGTTTTGATGAAACGTTTTCCTGAAGATGTGTTTTATTCCATGATTTAATCCTTAGAAACTTTAGGACTTGAATCTTTAATTAAAAGTGTGACACTCTTATTTTACTGAGGCAAGCAGATGTCTCTCCCTTTAATTAGATGCAAGATAATTYAACTAAAACACTCCCCTTTTCTTTGTCCTGAAGTAAAGTTTTCCCTCCAAAACAGATTTGATTTGTTAAAAAACTTTTCCTGTATAAGGTGTAACATTTTTATTGGCCAACTAAAATCTTGACTCCGCCCATAACAGAGGTTTTAAAAGTTAGTGCAGCTCCCAGAGAGAAGAAGAAGACCAAGAAGAAGACAGAGTTTTTGAGAGTTGTTCAACATCAGAAGCCAGAAACAGTTTTCCAGAAGCTCAGCAGAGGCCCTGCCTGCCAGCCCCTCCCCATGGGCTGGGCAGGATGGTGGTCCTTCTGCATCTCCTGCTGGTTGAACGAACAGCCAAGTTCGTTTTCTCTACAAAATTGAAATCAAATTAAGAAGTCTTGCAGCCGCCTGGGGAGGACCGGACCACGTTGTCACCAGGGAGTGACCCCCTTCTCTGACCATGGGACCAGTCGAGTTTATCAGGCAGACCGTCTGACATCCAGCTAGCATGGAGAGCCTGTCTGGGGGAACGACCCCCAGAGATGACCTTTCACACCTGACTTCACCTCCTGGTACCCACACAAAAGGGTAAAAGTGAACATTTGTCCTGGTGACAAACAGGTGCTCAGACTTAATTTGATTCTTATCTTTGTATGAGATTTGATAAACTAAACAATTTTTCTCTTCCATTTAACCAAGACCCTTAGTTAAAAAAACAGCTAAAAGCAAACTCACCTCACTCCAAACCTCAAACTCARCTCTCAGTGTTTATTTTGTTTGTTTACTTGTGATTGCAAACTCTGTCAGTTTTTACCTGGTTCAACATGTCATCACTCACCATAGTTGTGAATACATTTAATCTGTAAATAAATGGCCCGTGGAGAACGTGCCAACATAAGCCAATGTCACTTTTGTGTCTTGATAAAGTATTATTGGTTCTGATAAGACAAAACTCAACCATTTAGGGTATATTTATTGTGAGACTGATTACAATAAAGTTACAGGTTTTTGTCTCTTTCCTGGGTTAATTTTTGACCAAATTAAGAGCGTGGTGCCTCGAGATAAGATAATTTGCGTATTTAAATTCACAAATTATCCATTTTAGAATATACCCAAAACCCCTACATTTCTAATAGTCGTGGAACAATTTCAGAATTWTGTTCCTGAAGCTTTCAATTAACCCATATTTTCCGTTTTATAATCTAATCAATAGATTAAACAATCTGTATTGATCTCTGAGCTCAATGAAAGTCTGTATTGGATGGTTGTGATCTTTGGGCCCTCAGGGCCTGTCAAGATTAACAGGAATAAACCCAGGTTGCAGGCAGGCWCCAAAAATAGAACAAAAAGGTTTATTTAATAACTAAAAAAAACTGCTGAAGAGGCAGCTCAAACTTACAAGATTCACGAGGATCACAAGCAGGGGGAACATAAGTCAATGAACCGACACCAGACTGAGACAAGACAGGACTTAAATACACTGACAACTAATGGATGAACTGAAAACACCTGGTGAGAAACACGAGGGTAACAATCAGACTAATGAGGAGCAGCTGGGCTGAGACACACTGGGGAACATAGAAACACTGGAAAACCAAGGTGAAAACTGACAAACCATGACAMGGCCCACTGCATTAAGACAGGTCTGGTTCTGTTCTGGACATCACTACATGGACTGAAGAAAACTTCCACA